AAAAAGTAGTAGTAATTACTGAGGAGAGGAGGTTCACTGGCCAGCCAAGATGTTTACAGGTAGAGCATGGAGCTCCCAGATTGTGGCTCTCCCAAGCTGTCACTCATGTGGGGGTAGGCTTTTCACTAATGCAGCTGACTTGGAGTTGTTCATGCTCTGTAAGTAGCTAGACTATATATATATATATATATATATATATATATATATATATATGTTTGTTCTCTAAGCTAGGCGTAGATAGTAGTATTTTTGTTGTTGTTGTTTTTGGTCTGTCTTGAGTGTCCTATCTGGGGTAACTAGACATTTGTTCACATCTCCTAGGCAAAAGTCACAGGATGCATGAAGAACAGAAGGTGGGATGAAAACCCAGCACTGTGGCCTAAGGTTGCCCTGCCCTTCTAGCCATCCACCTGAAGAGACAGCACCGTCTTGTCCTGTGGCCTGTCTCACAGTGCAGACACTACCATGATGCAGGCTGGTCAGATTGTAGATCAGGAGAAAACACCATTGAGAAGCAGGCTTATTACAGCCCCTCCCCCACACCTCATAGGGCCACCTGGGGAAACCCCAGGGTTTATCAGCAAGCAGAAGAATCAAGGTACCAACAGGTGGGAACCTTCATGTGGTTTCCATGGGAAAGACCAGACAAGGCCATTAGCAGGCCTAGGCTTGGTTGACTGTAGAGCCAATCTTAGCTCTCAGGCTCTGGGGACCATTGGCCTGGGGTATAAACGGCTCCTAGAGGAGATGAAGGGCTGTGTGACTGTAACTAACCTGGCAGAGAGGAAAATGTTCTAAAGACTCGTTTTCGTTCCTCATGGTGACTCTCAGACTACTGAAGCACGGACCCCCAGGAGACTGGAATTACCCCAGAACTCTAACACTGTGAGACAAGAAAGCCTAAAGCTTGGGCCATCCAGAAGAGAAACTTCTGGAAAGAGACTTCCAATTTGCCAGAACACTTTACAGGAGAGGCAACAATGGGTCTGTGGTAGGTGGGACCAAATGGCTTGACTGCTTAAATGCATCACTTTGGCCTCTACTTGAACCTCCACCTCAGGTCAGGGGTAAGAAGATGGACCCAAAGAGGTCACTGGAGCTCCATCTCTTTGCCCAGTGTGGCCATCTGCAGACTCCATCCTGTCCGGTTATTCCTGCCCTTGCCACTTCCCAGGCCGCAGCTGAGCCCTGTTTGTTTCCTTCCCACCGGCCTCTGTGGTGCCCTTCTGGCACTCCCTGCCTTCCCCTCCCTGCACTTCCCAGTCCTGCCAGCTTCCGAAAGCCATACCTCACTGCCAGAGCATTTCAAAGGCAGCTCCTGCCAGGCCCCACAACAGCAGGGGTGGGACCTGCAGGGCAAAGGTCTCTAGTGTCCTATCTGGAGTAACTAGACATGTGCTCATGGCTCCTAGGCAAAAGTCACATAGTACACGGAGATGAGAAGCTAGGCTGAAAACCCAGCACTGTGGCCTCAGGTTGCCCTGCCCTCTAGCCATCCACCTGAAGAGACAGCATCGTCTTGTCCTGTGGCCTGTCTCACAGTGCAGACAGTACCACGATGCAGGCTGCTTAGACCTTCTGCTTTTTAAGTTGTCTTCTCAAAGACAGGTGTCAAAACCTGGTTTGTTGGTGAACAGGCTGTGACTCTTAAGTCCGGCAATGCAATGGTTAAAATGTTGATCATCATCATGTTGGGATTTAGAATCACCATGGAAACAAACTTCTAGGCACCTTTGGAAGGAGTTTCTAGATTGAGTCGATTGAGGAGGGAGTAACCTTAGGAGTGGTTATTCCCTTGGGGGTGGGGGTGGGGGGTGCAGCACCATTCCACTGGAAAGGGTCCTGGACTGAATAACAAGAAGACAAGCTTCGCTTCGGCATTCTTCACTGTGCTTCCCGACTGCAGATGCACCATAGTTTTCCCACCATAATTAATGCTGCTCTCACTCTAGAAGACAAAAAATAAAACCCTTCCCCCTTAGGTTGTTTCTTGTCATGCATTTGGTCCAAGTAATGAGAAAAATAACTCCTGCAGATGGGTTTCAGCTTAGTTAGTCTGAGCATAAATTGCAAACTAATTGGCCCCTGTTTCCTTAATCCAGGAGCTGGCTCCTCTTGGAAGGAAGGGTAAATGAGGCTCCAGACGTTAAACCATCAGAATAAAACCATTTGTGGAACAGGCATCCTGTGTGGGTGGCTGGATACAAAGAACTAGCGCCTTTGGGGTCCCGCTGCACCTCTCACAGAGCCTGAGTAAATGTGGCTTGAAGGTGCTGGTTCTGGGGGTCCAGACTGGGCATCTCCAGAGCTCTCCACAGCTTCAGACAACCCGTTCAAGGAACACTAGGAACACAGTGCCACACAGCTTCCCAGGCCTCCATTGACTCCGGTGGGTTTGAACTCTGCCTCTGATTGGTCGAGCACACATGCCCTGTCCTGCTGTGGGAGGGCAGAGGGCAGAGAGAAGAGAACTCTGCAAGAGCAGGAGGAGGCATTGGCTCTTAGGGTCCTGCTCATGTCCTGTTCTGAAGTTTTAAGCCTACACATTCTGACAAACCAAAAAGAGTGATGCTCAGGCCCCGCTGTGCCCAAACCTTAACAACCACCTCCCTACCTCCCAGTAATTCGAATGTCTCTTTTGTTAATTCAAAGCTCCATTATTAGGTGCTGTCCTAGGGCAACTTGTACCCTGGCCACCTGGACACCAGGCTCTAGATGCAGTCAGAGCAAAGCCAGGGGCCAACAGATCTAGATCAATACAATGGCGCGTTGCTGGAGACTTTCAGGCAGAATGTGGGCTTGGGTGGCAGAACCCTGATCCCGAAATTTAGATCAGAATGAAGAGTTTAGAAAATTAGACATCGGTCAAGCCTGGTGCATCTGATTTATCTCGAACTTATGGAGCACATCCTGAATGCTGACAGCACAGAGTCCCCACAGAAGGCCCCATGTTGCCCCAGGTAGGTCAGCAGCTACTGTGGAGTTAAGACTCAGGAAGGCTGTACTGGGCCAAGCTGTATCTGTGCGTGTACTTAGAGTTGGTATGATTCTTTGGTGGACAGATCCCTCTGTGTTACTGGCTCTCTTGATGATCACCAGGTTCTGATGCCCTCTTTCTGAGAAATTAATCCAGGCTCCTTCTACAGTCTCATTAGAATCCATCAGTACCGCAGCAAATGGCAGGCACTTGTTGAAGGAAGTGTGTCTCTGGAGATAGGCTTTAAAAGCTCACCTCCAGATCTCTCCCTGTGTGTGTGTCTCTCTGTGTGTGTCTGTCTCTCTGTCTCTGTCTTTCTCTGTCTCTCTCTGTGTGTCTATCTCTGTCTGTCTCTCTGTGTCTCTCTGTGTGTCTCTGTGTGTGTCTATCTCTCTGTCTCTGTCTCGGTCTCTGTCTGTCTCTGTCTCTGTGTGTCTGTCTCTCTATGTGTGTCTGTCTCTCTCTATGTGTGTCTCTCTCTCTGTGTGTCTGTCTCTGTGTGTGTGTGTCTGTCTGTCCGTCTCTGTCTCTGTCTGTCTCTGTCTCTGTGTGTCTGTCTCTCTATGTGTGTCTGTCTCTCTCTATGTGTGTCTCTCTCTGTGTGTGTCTGTCTCTGTGCATGTGTGTCTGTCTGTCTGTCTCTGTCTCTCTCTGTGTCTCTCTGTGTGTCTGTCTCTCTGTGTGTCTGTCTGTCTCTGTCTCTGTCTCTCTCTCTCCTGCTTATGGATGAGAATATGAAGTTCTCAGCTACTCCTCCAGTGTCATGCCTGTGTGCTTCCTGTCATGACGATAACAGACTAACCCTCTAAAACTGTGAGCAAGCCCTCAATCAAATGTTGTCTTTCATTAGTTGCCTTGTTCATGGTGTTCTCTTCACAACTAAGGCAGAGATACCACAAGTAGCATCAATGGGATGGCCCATCCCTATGGGAAATACTTCAAGGAGGAAGGGTGTGTTTCAGCTCACCATTTTTGGCAGTGTCCATGATCGCTGGCTCTGTTGCTTCTGTGGTGTGACAGAGCAACCTGCCTCACAGCGACCAGGGAGCAGGGAGGGAAGACTGGCACTCATTTTCTTCCATCTGGGCGTACCCCACGGGATGGTTGTACCTGTACTGAGGATGGGAATCTTCCCTCAGCAAACCCTCTCTGGAGATGCTCCACAAGTGCACCCTGAATGTATCTTACTGGCCTCAAAGGCACCTCTGAACTCAATCAAGCTGACAAATCAAGGCTGACCACTGTGGGCCTCAGAATGAGCACACTTCGCCACAGTGACAATGTGCTTTGTAAATGCAAACAGTTACTTAGAACTGATGCCAGGACTGCGGCAAGGAGACGAGTTACGAGACCGGAGCACGGCACTTGGCTCGACAGGCAGTCACTGCCATGGAGTGACTTGAAAGGTACAAAGACTCCTATTGCACAACGGGGCTGGAAAGTGTGGCAGTGACAGAATCAAAGCCACTGAGCAAGATCACATCAGTGAGGGTGTGGTGACTGCACCTCCTGCCAGTGGGTGCCCAGCATGACACGGGGATGGGGTCACCCTGGGGCAGCCACCATCACAGTCACAGGACAGACAAATATTTGATGAAACACAAGATGTCTATATAGAGACAGGGTATGTAACAAAAATATTTATTTCTTCTAACAAGTAGGGTGAAAAAGAACAAATACAAACATAATTTAGAAAATTATTCTGAGGACGGGAGAATGGCTCTGTCATTAAGCATTTGTCCCACAAACATAAGGACATGAATTCTTGAACCTAAGTTCATCCCCAGAACTCACTTAAAAGGTTTGGCGTAGTGGCGTCTTCTCCCAGCACTGAGGAGACAGAGACAAGGTGGTAGACTAGTCTGGCTGAATTGGTGAGCCCCAAGCTGGCTCAAGATGCACACACACACACACACACACACACACACACACACACACACACACACGAGAAGAAAAGAACAGAAAAATCATCTTGTCCCAGCCTGGAGGCCCACAGAGGTAATCATAGTTACTTGTGAGGCTGAGGTAGGGGATCAAATCTAAGGCTAGCCTGAGATACAGGATGAGTCCTGACAGCTTCATAGGACTCCTCCTCAAAATAAAAATGAAAATATTGCTGGGAATATAGCTTGGACCCCCAAAATAAACGAATCCCCTAATGCCTTGTTCACATCTCACTAGGTACACCCCAGCTCCAGGACGCAGGGCTCACCAGCCCAACAGACGATCAGGCCTGGGCTTAACATATCCAGAACTGGCAGAAGCCTAGGGTTTAGACTGAGCTGTTCTGGACTGACTGGAAGAGCTGGGCAGTAGGGCCAGTGGTAGCTGCTATTGACACCGGAGGTTTTGGCTTACCACCTCCAAGGATTTGGGTGAAGGGGCACATGGGAACAGATGGGAAAATGTAGAGACCCCTGGACCCCATTTAACAGTAAGAATGGTAAAGCAACTCCTCGACTCTGAGCTAAAACCTCATCTCCACTGTTGCATGGTACTGGAGCAGCCCAGGGCAGCAGCCACGCTCCACAGGCATATGGAAGTTTCCCACTAGGGCCTCTCAGGTGTCTTATCACACAGAATCCACACAGTTGAAAGCTGTCTCTTCCTCGGCCACAGCGAGCCCAACCTCGGTGACTGGCAACTTGACAGTGTTGTCTTGTTTCTGCCCCTGCCAGAGAAACCCAGGGTGAAGTCCCACCTCTCAGGCACCAAGCTGGGTGCTGCATGGTTCTTGGGAGCATGTAAATCTCAGCATAGACCAAGGAGTTTGGTCCTTCATCCTGAGGGACCTCCTCTTCCAACCCAAACACCTCTAGCAATGATACCTGCAAAGGCTCCAGTTCCTGGGCCACCTGTCCTGTAACACAAAGACATCAGGTCATGAGAGAAGCTGAAGCAAGACTGGCCAAGGGAGATGGGTACACAGCAATGGAGAACCCACATTCTGGGCTTCCAGCTGTGTGGTCTACCCCCAGAGTCTGACATTCTCTAAGAGTAGAAGTGGGCTTTGGACATGTGTCAAGACCCATAGGAGGCCCACCAGGTCAAAGAACAGGTCTGCCCACCTTCCTGGAGGTCAAAGTCAACCGCTCACTTACTTCACAGAGTTAGGGTTTGCTACTCCCATGAGCAGGGATTGGGGATGGGCTGCCCGACCCACCTCAGAGCCCGGGGAACACCAGGGGTGAGCACACAGGGGTATGCCTCCTCACTGACAAGAGTGTGACCTGTTTGGTCCTTGGTGTTCTTTTTGGCTTCCCTGAACTCCAGGAAGGCCCACAGCTTCCCAGGCCCAAGTTGATCTGTAAACAAGGGCTCTGGTGCCCAGCTCAGCACAGAACAGCTGAGACAGAGGAAGGAGACTGAACAAAGAGAGGGGAAAAAAAGAGGAAGGGGGGAGAAGGAGGGGGAGGGACAGAAGGAGGGCCCCAGAGAAGCCACCTGACAGCTGGGTTCTGAGGAAAGCCTTCACCACTATCCATTGTGCAAAGAGAGACCCAACCCCTGCAAGGACCCTTAGGATGCCTCTGGGGTCCTGCAGCCTGATAGGATGGGATGTTGCTCACTGGTATGCAGTATTTTTCTTCCAAAGTAGATGCAGACTGCTAGTAAAGCCGCCAAAAGAGCCAAAGAGATGAACAAAACGACATAGAATTTCCAGGAGAAGGAGCAGGTGACATCTGTGCTGCTGGTCCCACGTTCTGCTTCTTTCTGAATCCATGAACTGCACCTAGGAGAGAACAGCCGAGAGATTTGGTGGGAGACCTAGGCTGTGGGCACTGTGGGGGGCCAGGGTCCATACAGCTCAGAGCCACTCAGGTGGCCAACAGCTCTGAGATAGATAGGACTAAGGTTTGTCACAGTCTTCAAGCCATTCATGGAGAGACAGAGAAAAGGGAGAAACAAGACAAAAGGAAAGAGGAACAAAGGAACAAGACAGAAATGACAGCAAAGAGCAAGGAACAGGAGGAAGGAGGGGGCAGGGAGGGAGGGAGGGAGGGAGGGAGGGTGAGGAGGGTTGATAGGGCAAAGCTGGGGACTGAAGCCAAAGCAGTGACAAGCATATGGACGGATAGGCCATTGTGCCTTTCCCTAGGGAAGCCGCACATGACCACCCAAGGAAGCATAGCAGCCCTCAGAGACCCTGAGTTCTCAGGTTACCTATAGGGTGTGGGACCCACATTTAAAGGGGTCCTGGCTCAGGTGGAGAAGAGACCTCACCTGAGGTCATCTTTGTGGTGATCTGAATGGAAATGGCCCCCAAAGGTTCATAGTGGCTCTATTGGGAGGTGTGGCCTCCTTGGAGTAGGCTGGCTTTGTTGGAGGAATTGTCACTGGGGTGGGCTTTGAGGTTTCAGATGTTCAAGCCAGGCCCAGTGTCACTCTCTCTTCCTGCTGCCTGCTGGTCCAGATGCAGAACTCTCAGCTACCTCTCCAGCACCATCTCTGCCTGCATGCCACCTTGCTTCCCACCATGACAATAATGGGCTGAACCTCTGAACTGTAAGTGGGCCCCAGTTAGATGTTTTCCTTAATCAGAGTTGCTGTGGTCATGGTGTCTTTCCCAGCAATAGAAACCCTAACTAAGAAATCATGGCCACATCCATGACTCCCACACTGATAGGGTGGGAACTGGTCACATCCTGTGGCCTCCTGCCTAAGGCCCAGTGATCTCTGGGAGCTCAGGCTCACCCATGTTGCTGTGCAGCCTACTGAGGGTGCATGCCACACCAAATCCAGTGGATTCTGTGTGACAAATTCCTCAGACTGAGGCAATAACTCTGGGCCGGAGAAAAATTCTGAGCCGTAGTTCTCATGGCAATCTCTGCTCTTCTATTCTTTTCTCATATTAACGAAACGTTTCTGAAAGTCTATGCTGACATTTTAAACAAAGTATATAGATGAGAAACTGTCCCCTGAGACGTGATCACTGACCTCATCTCCAGGAAAACCAGCGCTTTTCAAATCATTCACATAAGTACAAACAGTATTGACGAAAACTTCCCCAACAATAAAATTTCATATGGCTGTACATTTGTAATTGAGGGTAAGTTTAAACATTTGGTAAAGAGTGTATTTTGATAAGAAAAAGTCAAAATAGCTCAATATTTCAAAGATTCACAAGAGCTAGGCGACAAACGTTAACAATAACTGACCACAAAATTTATTAGCCTGATCTTAGAAAATAGGCGGTTTTCTGTGGTCACCCTTGAATGATTTATTGTTAGCCTTGGATAAGTTGCATGTACTGTGCCTAGTAGCTTTGATGTCATTTGCTCTATCTGGGTTTACTTCAGTGAACCCAAACTCTGAAAAGCTATGCTTTATCCTGGATAAAAAGCCTTGCTTGAAAGCCACAAAATACACTCAGATTCAAACTGCCTCTGTGTTTGTTTCTGTTTGTCACCACTGAATCCTTACCCAGCTAGTCTTCGAGAACCCTCATCCCAGGGACCCCCACTCCCGGCTGGGGTGGTCTGTGGCAGGTGCAACTCTGCTGGCATAGGACACTCATCTCCCAGGGGAACAGAAAGTTCCTTCCCCAGGGTACAGTTCACCTACTTGGTCCAGGGCAGACATTCCTCCTGATTTCCTCCAGGTGAGAAGGTTCCTGTCAGGCAGTCAGCACATACAGTGTCCTGGCTATGATTACCTGAGGGTCAGAGAGAGACCACAGAAAACACTGGCCTCAAGCTTGCAGGGAGCCAGGCTTCCCTGGGGAGGGGCCTGGGAATCTGTCTGTTCTGGAGACTTCCAACCAGCCTCTGTGGCTGGTAGAGGGAGCGGTGGTGGGAGATGATTCCCTGAGGATGTGTGAGAGGGGCTGGGTAGTTGTGGGACGTCCTGGACAAGGAAAGGGCCTCATGTAAGAATCCGGGTTCCTTGTCCTTCACTGCATAACCCTTTTGTGTGTCCTGGACAGATTCCAGAAGGGAGGAAAGACTGGCCTCACACTCACATCTGGTGAGTAGTGAGGTTGGCCTAGGTTACCCTACAAGTCAGGCTCCCTGCAAGGCATCTGAGACGAGACTGGATAGCTGAGGTTAGACCAGAAGTGGGAGCCACTGTGCTGATCCAGCTCCCCTTCCCTCTTCTGCCCTTTGCCCTCTTCCTGACTCACCAAAAAGCCTTTTTCTCTGCCTTCTCCTGCCTGTCCCTGTTCTGCCTTTCCCTGCTCTCCTCTGCCCTCGGTGGCCTTCTGCCTCCCCAATCTTCTGCCGTCTCAACCTCCCTTCACCTGTCAGCCTATACCCCTCTCCCCTCTCTTGCCACCAGGACTTGTCTCAGGTGAGTGGCCTGGGGGGTGGCCAAGGTTTCTACTCCTTCTGAGATCCCTGAATTGGAGGGCTTCTGAACACCAAACAGCAGGGACACCGGGACAAGAATGGACTCAGAGGAGGAACCTACAGTCATCCAGCTCACCTCTCTTTAGTACTCTCTGTCCCAGAGGGCAGGTGGTATGCGGCAAGCAGGTGGAACAGTGGTCCCCATCCTGAGTCTCACAGAAATAGCCTGGGATGCAGCGGCACACAGTGTCCTCCCGGCTGGAGCACTCCCGCCAGGTCACTAGGCCCATGTCTGCCATCAGAGACAGAGCAATGAAAGCAGCCATCCTCCAGCCGTCCCAGCGCACCAGGGAGTGCCTTCTGCACAGCCCACCTCCTCAGGAGCTCCTACCTGGGTCACAGACTCCGCAGGACAGACATTTGCTCAGGCCATTTGCATGGGCAGTGTATGTCTGTGGGGGACAGGGGGCACACACTGTGCCTGTCCGCTCACTGCAGGCTTGCTTCACATGGTAACCTGCAGCCAGGACCCACAGTTCCTCAGTGGTGGGGAACTGCAGAAGCCTACCCTGCACCCTCACCCAGAACTCCAGCAGCTATGGCACCAACCAAAACAAAGGCCCCACGGGACCTGTCAGCCCATCTGCCTCCTGTGTGCCCTCTATGGACAATCCAGAAGTTCACAATATGGGACCTCCTGATTCACCCAGGACTGGCTCTGATCATAGCCCTGTTTTTGTTTCAGCCTCTGATTCGGCTGGGCCTACCCCGCACAGCAAAGGTCCCCGAGGCTGAGGAATACAGGCTGCCAGGGGCTATTCCCGGACTGAACACTGTACAGCCTGCATCTGCTGAGGACCCAGAAGCCAAGAGACTCAGGACAGGAGCTTCCCTGGCACAGTGATGACTCCTGGAGCTGCTCCTACCTGGGTTGCACATGGGGCAGCACTCGCCCCCCACAGAATACTCCTCCTCTCTGCACAAGGGCTGGACAGAGATACACTGCAGGAAGTTCAAAAGGAAGACACACAACACCTGGGAGAGGGGAGAGTGTTGGAGGGGACCATCTTCCCTCCATCCCATGGCTCCTCCCCCAGGTGGCCCAGGGCCTCAGTTCATGCTCTGCTTTGTGCACTGGGGAAGCAGCAGCCTCTCAGCTCACAGTCTCTGTGAGACAGGCTCAGAGCTCACACCTGCTTAACCTCTCTTCTGCCTTCTTTCTGGGCCTGACCTGGGGAGGCAGCAGGGTCAGCTTAGGGTGGACTCAGAGGCTGTCAGCAGAGGTGGGAGCAGCTCTTCAGGGTCCTAGGGGAGAGCAGCTGTTTCTGGCTGGGGGTCAGTGCCCACTTGAGCAAACAGGTGAGACACACTGGCTCCTGATAGCCTGCCCTGATGTCTACTTGCACTGTAGGAATGAACATGCTTGTCCTCAGGACAGAGCTGCATAGGGCCTGCCCAGAGGCTCTTCCAGGCCAGGGCCTGCCAAGGGCCACCATGCCCAGGGCACCACCACCTGCTCTTAAATGAGAGCCTCAGCAGGTGCCTGTGAGTAGAGGCCCCTGGGGCCAGCCTGCCTGTGGCCTCCCAACATGAAGTTGTCCTCATACATGTCCATGTCTAGATATCCAGCAACAAAGAGCCCCCTGAGCAAAAGGCCCAGACAGAGCCTAGGTGGCCGGTCTGAGGTGATCTATGCTGTGGCTGGAGCTGGGCTCGAGAGGACAGAGCTTGGGGACAGGAGAAGGCTCAGGGACTCACCAGCCTGAAGGTGTTGTCTGTAGGGGCCTGGCTCCAGGGTGAAGACCCCCATCCTGGCAGAGGTTCCATGTTCCTGATCAAGACACTGCAGGCCAGGAGCTCCATGGGCCTGCCCCCCCCACACACACCCTTCTCAGCCCATCGGCAAAAGATGAAAATGAAAGAGAAATGCAGTCTGGGTTTTGAGATCTATAGATTAGGTGGGGGGAGGAGAGCAAAGGAACAAGAGTTCCCATTTGCACACACCCAGACTGAGCAAACACCCTGTGGAAGTTACGTATGTCTCCCGGGGCACCTCAAATACCTTGCTGTTCCTCTTGGGTTTTCTGACAGGCAGACAGACTGACATAGGAACCTCAGCCTCAGGAAACTGGGAGCTTTATCTGTGAACCACCTCCCAACATAGCAGACAGGACCTCCCAGGAGCTCCTCACCACATTCCCCAACACCACGGCCTGATTCCTCAGCCTATACACTTATGGCCCTAGCAATGGGAGCCAACCTTTATCCTCGAAGGGTGAAGCAGGACTCCTTATTGCCCTGGGGCAACCTTGGGCCTCCCCTGCCTGTCTCTGCGAGGGGACAGGCAGAAGAAGGGAACGGTCTTACTTTCCTGCCTGCGGATGTGGGCGGGGTTTCTTACTACAAAGCACTAACGCTGTGCCCTGAGCCAGGCCTTTGACCATGGACCTCAGTAAGCCTGGAGGTGGGGTTTCTATAGTCCTAGGCTCCAAAGAGAACTGAGCGACTACAACATAACACAGGAAGTCAAGTTCCTCAAGATCCTTCAACCTGTGCTAAATGCTCTCTCCCTCTGCTGTCACAGATGGTTGCTCCATCTAAGCCAAATTGGTCACTACCCTCATAGGCTTGGCTGGCACACCAGCCTTGGTCTGGTTTTCTTCATATCCAAGTCTTGCCCACACCTAGAACTCACAGGGAACACTGTGGGCCAGCCTAGAAGACAGTTGGTCCTGGCCCACCCACAGCTCTTTTTGGGTCCTGACTAACTGCCCTAATTTGGATTACTATTGCCAAGTGATGAAACACCATGACCAAAAACAGCTTGGGAAGGAAAGGGTTTATTTGGTTTACATTGCCACATTATAGTCCATCATGGGAGGAAGTCAAGCAGGGTAAGATCCTAGAGGTGGGAACTGATGCAGAGGACACAGTGGGTGTTGCTTACTGGTTTGTTGCCCATGGCATGTTGCTCAGCCTGCTTTCTTATAGAGTCCAGGGATGGCACCACACACAATGGCTGCCCCTGCCTCCTGTCAATCACTAATTAAGAAAATGCTCTTTAACCAGATCTTATAGAGGCATTTTCTCAGTTGAGGTTCCCTCCTTTGGGATGTGTCTAACTTGTGTCAAGTGGACATAAAGCTAGCCGGAACACTAGTCCACAGCCCTCCAGAATCCCACCCCAAAGGGATACCAAAGAATCTGCTGTATGTTGCAGAGGCTGTCCCACACAGCCATCCGTGTGCCCCTGTTTGTAGTAGTCAGTGCAGGGTGGCTAGCCACAGAAAGTAAAAGCAGCACACGCAGACAGGAACACACCACTACCAAGTTCCTGGCAGTACAAGCCACAGGTACTGAGCTCAGCCAGCATTGCAAGGCTGTCCACTGATAAGGATCACACTGGCTACAGCCACTAATGTCCAAAGGTCACAACTGTAGACTCAGAGAGAAAAAGCTAGTTGTTAGGGCAGGAGCAGTGTTTCTAAATGGGCATGAAGAGAGGTGCCCTGTCAGGCCAAAGCTTCCCGGGCCTGGGGTCAGGTTGTTTCTGACATCCAGCTGGGTCACTTGGAGGTGGCACTCCCAGTCCCTAAGGCTCTGAAGTGGGGACCAGATGGGGGTCGCATTGTGGGTGCCTTCGTGAGATTCTCACCTTCATCTTCCAACCTTGTAGTACAAGGGCCTGTGGGAGGGTAAACTCTTCCAACTCCTCTTCTGGCAGCCCAACATAGCACTGTGGGAGCTTCCAGTAAGGAGAAGATGTACCCCATCCCACAAGTGAGCCCTGAGAAAATGGTCAAAGCCCTATAGCTCATGGTTGCCTCAGAACATATAGAAAGAAGGCTCTGGGCTGCTGGTATGTCTCCTGGCTCTCAGAAACATGCCCCAGGGTGGGGAGGCCAGAGGCTTCTGATGAGATTCCCAAGCCACCATTCCCAAGAGATACACAATCCGAGATCATCATCCAGTTGGGAAACTGGGACACAGCAAGAGACAAGACTTACTGACACCATGTAGTACCTAGCTGAATGGGGAATGCCCGGTTGCTCACCCCTCCACCACCAGATGCCAGCCTATGGGACATGTTGTCTATGCATGGATCTTGTCCTAAACAGATCCATTCCTGCTCCTTATTACTCTCCAACCATGTATAATGAAATGAAAACTAGGGGTGATCAGCCACTCATTCAACCCAGGCCATCTCATGCCCATCACCAGATAAGCTCTGTTCAGGCCCCCAGTGACTAGCCAGACAGCAGAGGCTGGATCCAGGTCTTATCCACTTTCAAAGCACTAGTTAGTGGCTGTCACCTGCTGGTTTCACCCCCTTACTTCAGCTACTGAACAGGTGGAGAGGTGCCAACATCCCTGGGCTTTTACCTCCTGCCCCCATATACTCGAAGAACCCCCCACCCCAAGATCCCTTTGGCTGTCCTGACCAGACTCTAAACCCAGAGGCCCTGAGGCCAGTCTCCTGCTGGGTGCCCACCGGATCCAGGGGAAGCTGAGAGGTTGTGCAGGGTACCCTGAGCGCAACCCTTCTCTCCGCTGAAGATGGGAAGCTCAGACAACACGGATCTGATCACAGATGCCAATGCCCATGCCAAGACTCTGACCTCCAAAGGGCAGAAGACCCAAGCCACAAGTTCTCCCCAAATCCTATCCCTGTCACCTAGCCATCCTCTAGAGGACTTCCCCTAGTATCTATCAGCCTGACCTCCACAGGGCCCCCCGCCCATCCCTGCTGTCCCCCTGTTGTATTGACCCCCATCAGGACAGTCTCCAGCATCTGGAATTTCCCCCGTGGTATTTCTTCTTTCTCTTGCTGAGAAGGTGGGAAATGAAATGGAGGAAATGTCTGATCTCATTTCTGGGAGATGAGGTGAGGCCCTGACTCATTCACCTTCAAGTCCAGTGCCAAGCTTCCCTAGTGAGGGAACCCACTCTAAATGCCAGGCTTCCACGCTTCAGTGTGCAAGACTGCTCTGGGCTGTGTGTGACAAATGAACTCCTGGAGGATGGAGATGACATAGAGGGAAGGGAATTCTCTGTTAAGGACTCCCGTTGAGCCACCGGGTCCCCTGTTGGTGAGACACTGCAGGGACCGTTAGTGCCAGCCGTGAACACAGACACACCCTGCACTGGCAAGAGTGGCTCTGAGGAACAGACCCTAAGGTTACCATCCTTCAGGGAACTGCTGAGAAGTAAGACGTGAGGAGGAAGCTAACCACCAAAGACAGACCAGTGCTGGGCCGGATGAGATGGGGGAGGGGAATCCCGCTCCAGCTGTCATGGAGGAAGTGGACTGGACATCGAGGCTAGCAGCTGAGGAGAACAGAGATCTAGGCTGTGCTGACAGTCAGAAAGCTGCTGACAGAGATCAGCAGCCTGGGGCTTTCCAGGATTCAGACGCTGAGGCAGAAGCATGTGACCCCAGGTCTTGCTCTTTGGTTCAGCTCCAAGCTCCAGGCTTCTGCCTCATACACCTTGCCACATTTCAGTCTGGTGTTTACAGGGGCCTCTTATTTCCCCAACACCTGCTTATCTTTGGTTACCATCCTCTGGGACCACCTAGAGTCAGGAACCATGGCCATGAAGGCTAAGAGGACAGTGTATTATGAACTCAATGGACATCCCTACTCTGTTAGAACTGCCCACCAGGGAAACCTGTCTGGGAAAATTGTAAGTAAGCAGAAAGTATGTTTAAATCAACTCCCAGTTTGAATCAGAAAGAGCCAAGCATGCGGAATGTGTGCAGCAATGCACATGGCTGCCCTGAGAATGGTGGGTATACCGAAAACAGTTCGTGTGAGAAAAGGAGTGGCCCCTCGGAGGGGTACAGGACACACCCAGACACCAAGTTCTCAGCACAAAGGACATTTATTACCCTGGAGGGGTGGGTAAGTGGGGGTGGGGGCTGCCTCTGGATTGGGCAAAGGCAGACAGCAAGCTTCAGCAGCAGGTGCTTTTTATAGGAGTGGATTTTTACATTGAAAAAGGCAGAGTCTGTGCTGGGGTGGGTGACTTGGTAAGTCCTGATTGGACAGGCTAGCCAGTATAGCTATATAATGAATTTTGAATCCTGGACTTTGGCGTTTAGTCTTGGGAATGAGCCAGTAGCCATGGGGCTATCTTAGGAATATAATCTAACTGTTTTTAGAAAGGGAGAGAGAAGGCTAAAGGGCAAAACCTGTCAGAGCCATGTTTGCCACATTTGAGTCTGGTAGAGAGCACATCAGTGCACACGCTCATCAAAACAGAACTGGTAGAGTCTGGAGTGTTGGCACATACCCGTCCCAGCACTCTGGGATTGGCAGTTCAAGGCTGGCCTGGACTGCATAGACAGCCCCCCTACCCCAAACACACACACACACACACAGAGAGAGAGAGAGAGAGAGAGAGAGAGAGAGAGAGAGAGAGATCCTATCATCTCCAAAAAGAAAATAAAGAAGGCAGTGGGGAAAGAAGTGGTTACTTTGAGACTGAAAATGCATGAATCGGCTCTTTTTTAAAAATTGAGCAATATGAAAAAGCAAGAAGCTCAAGAGAAGAGTCGTAGGACTCATGGGTCGGCCTTAACAAGGCCTGTGGTCTCCGAACAGAGGCCGGGACATGATGCCTTGCCTTAACAAGGACTTAACACTTAACAAGGCCTGTGGTCTCCGAACAGAGGCCGGGACATGATGCCTTGCTGGGTTGACAAGGCAGGGCTCAGAGATGCTTAAATTGTGCTCAAAAAGGAGGGGACAGGAACACACAGGTGGTCAGCTATGTGTGCTGGGTGCTCCCCTGAGCCCTGAACAGCAAGCGGCTGGAAAACTGTG